AATAAGGTGATGGGGGGAGTTTTTAGGGGGGGGGGGGGGGGGGGGGGGGGGTGACTTAACGGTTAGGCCATTGACTATGGAGGGGGGGGGCGCACGTCACCAGAGACGTCTGCCAAATCAATCCTGAACAACAACAAAGACAGCGGCGTTAGGCCCGGTATTACCCAAGTGCCAAGATCAAAATAAAAAATAAACATCGAGCTTTGATTGGTCGAAGACATACACAAAAAAAAAACGGCAGAGAGTAATTTGGGTTTCCAACGTTTCAAACAAAGTGTCCACGGAGAACTTTCCATCAAAACAAAAACGTCCCTATTTCCCGCCCCGGCGAAAGGGGCCGATTTCGATTGTTCTTGTTGGTCCGACTATCGTAGAGCGCTTCGATAGTACACGGCCTTAACACTAGCAACACGTCCAACATGTCGGGACCCTACCTACCGCACCCACGACGCACCTCATCGAAGCCCAAGAAACCGAAAAACGCCGCGACGGCGCCCTTCAAAACCCCGCTAGCACCGAAGGGCGCCAGAGGGACGAAATTGTCGGCGTCCCAAAGGGAGAACGCCGCCCCCGTCATGAAAACTACCAGCAGCGCCTGCAGGAGCAAGGCAGGTAGGGCACGCCATTTAACATGCTTCTTCTTATGATAGTTAATACTCCGACAATACATACAACCAAAGAGAGACTACCCCTTCGAGATCATACCACAGCCTAACGGAATGTGTTGGAGTCTTTACAGTGAAAGGGAAGAGAGAACCGGTTGGATAATCTTCTGCTAAAGGACAACTCCTGCTGTCCAAGCCGTGGGTGCGATGCGGGAGAAACGGGCTTGTATGTAGCACCACCCTCAGCAACTGCACTGTCATATTTCAGCCAATGGTTGTGATGCTAAACAGAGGCCGTCCGGCTACGCGATACCGGCGACACGGCACGCAAACCCGCCGCCTGAATTGTGCCCTTTCGAGACAGAGCTACGCACACGCCTCGAACACGAACGGAGGAACGGTTGCCCAAGGCAAGCCACGCAAGGACGCAAGGAAATCGTCTACTCTCCTGAGAACCACGTGCGTGTTTCTTCTCAAATACCAACAACGGCAGTGAGGAAGAGAGAGGGAGAGATAACATAAGGAGGCAAAACAACAACGCAAAAACTTGTTTATGTGTGACCAACTGCTGGTACCATCGTGTCTCCAAAAAAAAAAGTATGTACTAAGGAGGGTGAGAGCGACGGCACCGACAGACGGCCACGACGATGGCACGCACCTTAGCGACGCAAAAAGTGTTGACGGTGTACTTGCTGGCCTGGAGGCCACCGACCACGATCATCACGCACACCGCCTGAAGCAGCGCTCCGTAAACGCCCCCCATGTCTAGGACCACTCCAAGCGTCCTAAGGCCACCGGCCTTGTTGTCCCCATCGTCTCCTGCCGCGGAACCTCCACCGTCGACCGAGTGGGATAGCCCCACGCTAAGCTGTATGCCAGGAGGGGGGTACGCGGCCGTGAAAAGGTCGAGTAGAAGGGGGCGTTAGCGCAAGAGGGTCAAGATGTGAGATGTGTGTTCCTGCTGCTGCGAAAAAAAGGCCGCTCATGACTGCGGTAGCGATGATCTTACGCCGATAGCCAAAACCAGCAACGTGAGTCACACGTTGCGTGACAGCCCATACAGAAAATTATTTTTTTGTGGCAGCCAATCCAACACCGCCTTTCAAACAAACAAACATTGATACATTCCATTCATGGGCAACAGCGCAATAACTCATCCAGCAAGCTCCCCACCATTTCGCCCCAACTCTTGGCTACAGCGGCGGCGGAGATGCCGTACTCCAGCGTCATGCACCAGCCGACGATAGCCGCCGGCAGTTCTCCCAAAGCCACAAATGTGTACGCATAGGCTCTGGCACAGGAGGAAGATGACGGTGGCGGGGTGGGAGGGGCGGCAAGAATAAAACACGAAGCAGCTAAAAACAACGGGCCACAGCAGTGAAAGGGAACGTGAATAACCTGGTATTGACGAACAACTATGGCCTGTCCGCTGAGGAACCCACGCCCAAGTTTGTTTCTTTCTCTTGACTTGCGTGCGTTCTACAAACAGTCACTGGCCTCCAGAAGAGGACCAAGCTGGTACTCGGCTCGAAACTCAGTGGCACGGGTTTTCAAATTGTGCATGTCGAGGTCTTTTCGTGGCCCGAGCCTAAGACATTCGCTACCCTCGAGTAGTAGCGTGCGGGGAAATGGCGTATGGAAATAACTGCATGTCGCTTCGAGGAAAACATGCTCGAGGGTCACGCCATCGACCCTGTGCCTCGGCTCCATCACCGTGTCTGTTGTGGGCTGTGTCTGTCTGTTTTTCTGTCTGCCTCCCTTTCTCCATCGCTTCCGCCACCCATCCCTTCCTTTCCCTTCTTTATTTGGCCGCCACCTCGCTTCCTGCTGCCACTCACCCGCCCGCCGAAGGAACTCTCCAGGAAAGTTCCGCGAAGGACATGCCGCTCAACAGGCACCCGAAGCCCGCTATCATCCACGAGAACATGCCGGCCGGGCCAGCAATCTCGTGGCAAATGAGACCGGACATGACGAAAACGCCACTGAGGGAGGCGGAGGGGGGGCGGGGAGGAGACGGGTCAGGATACAACGGTGCTGAGAAATATGTGTTGGCACGCCAAGATGAATGAACTTGCAGCCCGTTGACATGAGCTGTTGAGCAGCTTGCAATGATTGCGCCGCACATTGTGCACGGGTAGAGGTGCTCTCTTGGATCGAACATGCTGAAAACGAGCACAGTCTAACGCTCAAGGATGTATTTCCGCACTGGAAACTTCTGGTGGAACTTGCAGTGGAACACAAACACACCAACAACATCACGGCGGAACACTTTGCGCATTCGTCTTGGGTGTACGCACGCTTTGAATGGCAACAAGATCTCGGCCTTCAAAGACTCTCTTGGAGAGGTTGAGGAGAGGAACCCAGAGTTGACCTCAAGCTCCTGCACTACTGCTGCTGCGCACACGCGAACGCGCTATCGCCCAAGTGCTTCCTCTGAGGGTGTGAGAAAACAACTCAAAACCGTTATTCCAACACATGCATTCATCGCGGGCCCTTGCCACACACCGCTTGTCCGGAGATGTCTGGTTTCCCCGGCCTCCACATATTGGACTCAAAAATCGTGGAGGAGCGGTTGTTGGAAAAAAGAAGCCCACGATTGTCCTGGCAAGTTCTGGCAAGTTCTGCCCCGCCGGCATCAACACCCAAACCCACAACAGCGTGTACCAACGCAACTGAAACTTGGTGACGGCGCAAACAGTCATGTGACAGCCGATGAGATGCCTGCTGGATGCTTAGGTCGCGGGGGCCGGGGCCGGCTCAATAATAATTACGTGTGTCGTGTGTCGTAGCTTCGGTGTGGCACCGACGGGGTTGCCAAGATCTACGAACAAGCCACGTTAATTTACAGAAAATACGCGATTCTCTCAAAACTGCCGGAAGCTTTTGTACCAAACTTGCACGGAGGGGCGGATGGTGTCCGTCCGGAGTTACACTTCCTCCATTCCAACCCCGTCGGAAAAACTGTCTAAGAAGCAACCTCCGAGAGCGTCGACCGGAGAAAACTTGGTTTTAGAGTGGAAACCGGATACGGCCAATTCCAATACATCAGTATTTAAACGTCAGTTCTTCTCCTCAGATAGTATGGGATCAAAGAGTGGCATCACCTCCCACGAGGGTCGGTGCATCCACTCCTCGCGAAGAGGAAGGGAAACGAGTGTGTCTGACGAACGACACTCATGTCTCATCTCCACGTTAGTCACGATCAGTTTGTTGGAGAAAAACTGAGCGAAAACATCTTGCTGGGTGGGTGGGTGGGTGGTGTCTCAATAGAGCACTCTCTTATCTCTGTTTTCCTGTGGAAACAGGGTTGGCGGTTTAAGGGTGAGACGGCGTACCTGCCTGTCTCAAATATTGCCTCTTGAATCCTTGACAGCTCTGGGAATGATTTCTTAGCAAACAGAGGGACTACAGGTTCGAGATATAAACCCAGTCGAGAGGGATGTGAAGTCTTTACAGTGAGTGGAAGGAAACCGGCTGGAAACTGGGCCCATATTGAGTGTGTTAAGCCTACACACTGAAGATTTGTATCAGTGATGCCAGCTGGTGATTTCTTTTTCCATCTCCGTTCCTCATATTTGTGTTGTATGCATCAAACGAAGGAGGTCAAAATGCGAATGCGGCGTAACTGGGTAAGTTAAGAATCATAGAAGGTGCGTGTGATGAAGAGGGTGGCACCAGAAGTGTGAATACAAGTGCTGTGTGCATCCGTTTCGCACACGGTGAACCATGTGGTTGCTGCAACTTGGTACCTCCCCACATACACATTGTGATGAGAAACGTGCCTGTACACAAGATGCGTCACCCGCAGCCCGCAGCAGAGAAGTTTGACATGTCGGCGCCGAGCGGACCTACATACCCAGCTACACAAGCACACCGACCTGCCAACGGTGCCGCCAAAGCCCAGAGCAAAAAGGTCCCAGAACCCCAGATTTCGCTCTAGCACCCCTTCGCTCTCCTCGGCATTCACCACCGCGAGCGGCTTGCGCTTGAAGCATTTCGCCAAGAGGGGCGTGTTCTTCGCTACGGTCACGGCATGGTCCCCGCCGCCGTTGATGATGGCGGCCTCAACTCCACTAGCCGCCGAAGCCTCCGCCACTTGGTTACCACCACCTCCCATACGGCCGCCTTCTGTCTCCTCTCGACGGATTCCAGTGTGGGTCGCTTTCTGGTCGCTCTCCGCCGTGTGCGTCTCCGAACGCACGCTCTCGTCTGTCCCGGATGTTTTTGCTATTGCGCCGCATATTTCCAGGGTTTCTCCGGAGACGACGAACAGTTGGAGGGTGGACGAAATACTTGAGCGCATCACATCTTGTATGTGGGCGATCAATAACACCTGACCTGACACCACGTCACCAAGCAGCCAGCCGAGGAATCGTGCAACGCGTACACAGGCAGAGCACGGTAGAGGTGAGAAGAAAAAAGGACAATTGGAACTCGTCTTCGTTACCAACGGTCGACACGGCTGTGCGAGGGATCATCGCACGCCTCATCGCATACTGTAGGATCGTGCTTGAGACGAGGCAAGATCCGACAGGGACGAGAGCACCGCACCGGCCGCATGCCGTCCAAATCGAAGATCCAAGAAGAGCATGGCTGATGTATTGTTCGGCCGACCCACCGAGCCGGCTTCAGGTGTGTTCCAGCATAGCCCAGTTGCTCTGTGCATCTGTGTTTGGCTTTGGAATGAGGTCGGGGAGGCTCGTACAGGAGTAGACTACATAGTCTACACCTCGACAGCAGTCTACGTGTACACTACATATATAGCATCGCGTACAAACCACAAATTCAACATCGCACACACACGAAATGGGAACATTGAAAACCTTGAGGAGAGATACTTTCCCGCCGGCGAAGGTCTCCGAGACCCGCATAGACTATTGTTATTGCTCGATCAAAAAACAATTCAAATGTGGCCAGCGCCTTCGCAATCCCAATCTGCCTACCGAGACATGTCTGTTTGTGAACCGCAACTATGCAACTCCAGTGTCCTTCCCCGCGTTTTTCCAAGTGAAACACCAGTCCTCTCGACATTCCGACGAGGGTACGTCAGAACCATACCGTTGGGCATTACTCGCGTGTAAGTCAAACTTCTAGGAGTTGCCGGGAGGGTATTGTCAGCACAGCCAATCAATCTTGGGGGTCGTTGCTCTAGACTCCCCCCTTAACGCACAGCGAATTTCAATTCTGTACATGGTGATGTATTATGGATACTTCTTGTGTCATACCCTGGCATGGTGGCATAGAGGTTGTGTCGTTCACGTTAGTCTAGGTGATGAAACGTGCGAGAGGGTGCATGTAGCCTGGAAGACGACAGAGAGTCCTTCCAAGATGGCGAAGAAGATGTCGAGATATTGGAACGCTGGCGCTTAACCCCTTTGGGTCTAGCTTTTTTTCAATTTCGGCAAAAAAAAACGGGAAGAAAGTGCGGGAGAGAGACACGTAAGTGCAGCTAAAAGAGACAAGTGTACTTCTGTAGACGCAACAGCTCCGCCCATAGGTCATGAGGGCAGCACACGACAGGATGGTGGGCACCGACAGGATCATAGAAGGGTTGATGCGGGGTCGCGTTGAGGCCGGTAGGGCAGGTTAGGGGTGTACATGTTGAAAAAACCAGTCGTCAAGCTGCCTAAACTACTCTATTTTCAGTATGTTCAAATGATCAGTGATAGTGATCAGTGATTGATTAGTGAGAGGGCTTGTAGACCCATAGCTGGTTCTGGGACTTCTGTACTTCTCGGTCCCCTCCACAATGTGAGCCCTGCCGGCTCACTGCAGCTCCTGTGATTTTCCCACAATTCCCCCAAGCACGCAAGCACACCAGCACACACCTACCTTTGCATCAGTGGCTCTCTAAAGTTTGGACAAGGATATGTGTGGGGTTATGATAGTAGTGTATGTGTTACTTTGTTGGACTCATCTATGCTGCTGCTGATGTTTAGTATAGCTGCTGACACGATGACTGCTGGATCTTGGGAGTGTACGATTTTCAAATTTGGAGAACATGCAGCGTACACCACGATATCCTTGGCCTGGTTGGGCTTGAAATGCCCCTTTTTCCTGCCTCCGCTCTTTGCTTCAGTGACATCCTAGATGCAGGCGAGGTCATGTATGTGGAGCGATTGATATGTGTCTCTGTGAAAGGATATGGGGAGAGATTCGTTGTGGCATTCGCATTTAGCGATTGTGCATTTTTCGAATTTTGGCACCAGTTGAGGGACCTTGATTTACCCGCTGGCACTGACGTCTTTTCATTGATCACCAGCTCGCGCGGTCGATGCTAAGAATAAAGATATACCTACCCATGGACTGCCAACGCCTGGCGTGGGGGGATACAGGGCGCCAACTCCAAGGGATGCCACCACACCAGCATTTGTAAATGATCAATCAATGATCTGTCAGGGCGCCTGTAGACCCAACACAATCCGTAAGGATCACACGAGAGGGTGAGCTACTCGGCTAGCATGCAGAGAATCCTGCCGCAGTGAATCCTCCGCATACACTACGTACGCAAGTTACATTCGAACCGACACAAACGAGATCTATGATACACAAGAGCAGAGCTACTTAACATTGATTCATACTGGCTATGTGTTAACATTTCCACAACACTCCCCCTCAAAGTTGCTCTGAATTACCGAACTAATGATGATTGAATCAAGCAAGTTGTTCGTTTCCTGCGTTCAATTCGTTTGATTTGTTTCAACCACCAACGACACATATGAGATCTACGGTATACAAGAGCAGCGCTATTGAACATTGACTCATACTGGCGACGTGCTAAACATTTCCATAGCACTCCCCCTAAAAAAAAGCCGCTCTGAATTGTACCGAACTGTTGATGACTAAATCAAACAAGTAATTCGTTTCCTGCGTAACTCAGTTCGTTTCATGCGTTTCAACCACTAATGTACCAAGTGAGATTTCATGATTTACACGTGCTACAATACAGAGAGTACCTGTCATCGTTTCCTGCATAGACCAAAGTACGAATTCTTTCAATCCTACAGTACATGGCTCGTTCAACCACTGACGTTGCGAGGCCGAATGTCGACTATCGAAAGGTACGCTGATTCCCACAAACAGAACAGATTCAAAAATACTTCGTAACAAACACACAAACATACAACGCGATCACTTGAACTTGTTGATGATGAAAACGTTGACGTTGAAACTGTTGACGATGTCCAGCTGATGTTTGAAGCGATGCTTGTTCAGATGTTTTGTCCCGCTGTCTGCAAGGTTGTCGTCCGTCAGGATGTAATG